GAGTAGCTAGGATAACAGGCATGATCCACTGGCGCCCAGCTCAAAATACTTTTTTCCTCATGCTGGGACTGGAACTCAGGGCCTGGGGCTGTCCTTAAGCTTCTTTTTCTCATGGCTAGTACTTTCATCAAGTGAGCCACAGCACTACTTCTGGCTTCTTCAGAGTGGTTTATTGGAGGTAGAGTCTCAAGGAATTTCCTGCCTGAGTTGACTTGGAATTTCAATCCTCAGATCTCAGCCTAAGTAGCTAGGATCACAGACGTGCAATGCAGCACCAGAGCTCAGTTCAAAATACTCTTGAGTCAAGAATTTTTTGCCAGGTGCCAGGTGGCCCATGCCTATAATCCTAGCTACTCAGGAGGCTGCAATCAGAGGATTACAGTTCAAAACCAGCCAGAGCAGAGAGAACTGTGAGACACTTAGCTCCAATTAACTACTAAAAGGCTAGAAGTGGAACTGTGGCCTAAGTGGTAGAGTGAGTAGAAAAGCTAAGAGACAGCACCTAGGCCCTGAGTTCAAGCCCCAGTACTGGCATTCATAAGAATGCGCGCGCACGCACACACACACACACACACACACACACACACACACACACAAAACTGTGGGAGAAAGAAATATTTGCTCTTTTTCTTACAAGAGATGAAATGTGTTATGTCTTTTCTTCCCCCAAGAGCTTACAGAAAATCCATGCCCAGCTGAGGCACCCCAAATACAGAATTAGCAAATTCTGACCCACTGCTCCTAGAGGAAATACAGGGCTTAGGTTCCTGCATGTATCTGGTCAATTATTCCATCAACAGATCAGTTCATAACCACACTTTATTTGTGTTTCCATTTAAAGAAATTCTGTTGAATAGCTATTATTAATTCATTAGCACTGAACTCTGTTAATGTCTCGGTGACTCATGTCTGAATGAACCCTGTCTAATCCATGTATTTTCTCTACAAGACTCATGACAACTATCTTGCATTCAAGAATACCACAAACACAGCCAGTAAGCATTTCAGCCACATTGGAGCGCCATTTTAAACAGAATCACCACAAAAGCACCACAAAAACTGTGATGCTAAATAGATGGGAAAGGACATTTACTTACCTGAAGAAAGTTAAAACAAGGAGGCAATGTTACTTCCCTCAGCCTCAACAAGTCATGTAAAAAAAAAAAATCAGCTGGGTGCCAATTGCTCATGCCTGTAATCCTAGCTACTCAGGTGGCTGAGATCTGAGAATCATGGTTCAAAGCCAGCCTGGGCAGGAAAGTCCGTGAGACTCTTATCTCCAATTAACCACCAGAAAACCAGAAGTGGTACTGTGGCTCAAGTGGTAGAATACTAGCCTTGGGCTGAGGAGCTGAGGGACAGCACCCAGGCCTATAGTTCAAGCCCAACAACCTACCAAATTAAAAAAAGAATGTTGAACTCATGTGTCTTAGAGTCTACATCAGACTTAGCAGAGAAAGTCTGAGCAGAAAAGCTCAAGGACAGAGCCCAAGCCCTGAGTTCAAGCCCCACAAATGACTTCCTACCCCCCAACCCCCCAAAAATCAACTGGATAGGGAATATCAAACAGATTGCAGGTGTCTCTGTATCCAGGGATCCAGCCTTGTATGTCTCTTGCTGATGGCATGGGCATAAAAATAATGAAAAATATTGATCATTTCACAAAAAAGAAATGTAGGAAGCAGGGCGCTGGTGGCTCACGCCTGTAATCCTAGCTACTCAGGAGGCTGAGATCTGAGGATAGCGGTTCAAAGCCAGCCCGGGCAGGAGAGACCGTGAGACTCCTATCTCCAATAAACCACCAGAAAACCGGAAGTGGCACTGTAGCTCAAGTGGTAGAGCGCTCGCCTTGAGCTGAAGAGCTGAGGGACAACGCCCAGGCCCAGAGTTCAAGCCCCAGGACCGACAAAAAAAAAAAAAAAAAAAGAAATGTAGGGTACACAATCAAGCCACCATCGACAAACCCTAGTGATGGGTCAAATATATGCAGCCTCCTCAGCCCTTGCATCTTTCCTGGTCCCCCCCATCTCCAGTGAGCACAAGGAGCTGGTGCTGTGAGCTTCAGTAGTCTTCCCACATTTTACCCAGGCCAAGAAGTGCCTTCTCATTGGACTTTTCTGAGGAAAAAGAAAGAAAGAAGGAAGGAAGGAAGGAAGGAAGGAAGGAAGGAAGGAAGGAAGGAAGGAAGGAAGGAAGGAAGGAAGGAAGGAAGGAAGAAAGGAAGGAAGGAAGGGAGGAAGAAAGAGAAAGGAAGGAAAGAAAGAAAGAGAAGGGAGGGAGGGAGGAAGAAAGAAAGAAAGAAAGAAAGAAAGAAAGAAAGAAAGAAAGAAAGAAAGAAAGAAAGAAAGAAAGAAAGAAAGAAAGAAAGAAGGAGAAAGGAAAGAAAGAAAGCAAGCAAAATCTGGGCACCAGTGGCTCATACCTCTAAATCCTAGCTACTCAGGAGGCTCAGATCTGAGGATCACAGTTTGAAGCCAGCCAAGGCAGGAAAAAAAAATAAACCAGTGAGACGCTTCTCTCCAATGAACCATCACAAAGCCAGAAGTAGAGCCGTGGCTCAGGTGGTAGAGCGCTAGCTAAGCCTTGAGCAAAAAAACTCAGGGACAGTGCCCACATCCTAAATTCAAGCCCCGGGACTGGACAAAGGAAAAAAGAAGTGGTATTCACAAACTATTAGAACATTATATTATGTAAGTGATCAATCTAAGGATAGGTGCTGCAAAGGAAATCGCCACGTGGATTGCCAACTCCGTGGGTATGTTCAACAGCACCGCATTTCTCTGTACTTAAAATCAGATGCCTCTGACTGGTTTCAAAGATTTGGCCTCCAAACAACCAGGTGTCCTTTTCAAGTTGGCATTTCCTCTACAGAGGGATACTGAGCATCTTTCCTGTATGCCTCACACAGGGCTAGGCCAGCTGTCTAACAATATGGATCCCAGAAGGGGGTGCTGCCCACGTTGGTGACGGCAGCCACTGACGCCTCTTGCACGTAGCAAATTTCACAGAGACCTCCGAGCAGGGGTCCAGGGGCCTTGGCCCATATATCCTGGACAAGCATCAATGTACCATAAGTGCCAGCGGGAGCTACCCAAAGGCCCAGGGTGGGCATGTCCCAATGTCCCTGGGCTTCTGGATGGAGTCCAGTCCCAGGGAGTGAATGTCAGAATTCTCCCGAGGCTGCTCAGGCCTTTGCTCAAAGGGAGGGATGGACTTGTGACATCCCTTCCAGGAAACTCCACCTGCTTACTGGCAGGTCTCGGCCAGCCTTCTGTACATACCAGCCTCCAGGGCATGGCTGAGGCTCAGGAAGGAAACAGCAGTGGTTGGTTGTTCTTAATGACTTTGAGGGAGGCAAAAGGAGAAAGATTATGCAGACAGGGAGAGAGGGGTAACAGGTGGAGGTGATACCCTCTCCTCTTCCTGAAGTCCCTCTGATAGAAGCAACAACAACACGCCCTACACCCTTGGAGTGAGGGGTACAGTGACCCAAGAGATATCAAAACAGCTGAGATTCATCCAAAAGGGCTATAAAAAAGGAGACTCCATGAGCACTGCATGTGCCCTGCCGACTTCAGGACCCCACTTGTTTCTCTCTTACAAAGAGAAGACTGTCACTGCCTCCTCCTCTTCCTCCTCCTCCTCCTCTCTTCCTCTTCCTCCTCCCTCCTTCTACTAGCCTGGGAAGGAAGTAGATAAGACCTTATTTGGCCTAAAGCCACCGCCCCCTCATCATCCAGAGTCCAGATTGGGGGCTTTATACCAACCTACCAATAGCTAAGAGGCTTGCCTCAGTTTCCCTGACATCTTACTTTCAAAAATAAACTTTGTCTCTGCTCCCATTTCGCCTGCCTCATCATTCGTTACTTGGAGAAGAGAAGGCACGCAAGACCTCTAGACAAGATCAACCTCGTGCTGAGAAAACATCGAGATGGTGGGAGGGGAGGAGTAGTTGGGTCATGGCCATTGCCAATGATCCTGGGCCTCCATGTCGCTGGATCTTGAAAGGTCTTCTAGACCCCTTTGTAGAGATAATACAATTTTCCTTTGGCTCTGCAAATCTGGCCCAGGAACTTTGCCCTAGACCAGGTTTTCACATCCATATCATATTGGTGTTCAGAACAGCAATGGTACACATCTATTCTGAATGACTCTTCTCTCTCCAAGCCCTTAGACACGCTCTGCCCTGAGCTGCCCACTGCCACCTGAGAGAGAGCCTGGCTTCGCTGCAGCGTGACCACTCCCTCGCTTGCGCGCTGCCGTGGACTAACTATCACACCAAGCACAAAGGAAACAAATACACAATCATTGCTGGGGGAGGAAAATAAATGTTCTTTATCCACTTCATTCTGTCTGGCAGACACCAGCAAAAGATTTATTTTTAATCCCCCCTACACACATACACTCCCCAAACTCCTCATCTAAACTTGGGGTGCATTGAGGCATCTGAAATGTGTTTCTAAACCAGCACAGAGCAAGCCAGGGAAGGTTTGAATGAAATACAAAAGCCAACGTAGACCTGAAGGGGACAGGCAGCCCACAGCTAGGCAGCCAACTGCCAAACTGTCATTTTGCTCAGCAGCACAACAGAAGGCTCAAGTAATGACAACCACAAAACTCATTTAAAGTCTGAAAAGGTGACTAATGAGCTCATTCATGCTGGCTATAAATTATTCACTACAACACTGATCCTACTCAAGACAAAACAGTAAACTTTAAACACAGGCATGGCCGGCCTTCCAAAAGTGCAGTTATATCTGTAAGACTTCTCATAATGAGAGCGCCTAGTCTCTCATCCACTGTCACAGTATTCTTCTGTTTACTTTTGTGAAATATATATATATATACACCACACTGCCTTTAATCAAGTTTAAACAGACACAGCTGTTAAACATTTATTTCTCTGTTGAGGGTTTTTTTCCCCCCATTAGTTATTACAAGCAATCATGGTGTTCTAAAAATAGCAGCAAATTATATTCTCTAGAAAATTGAAGGCTGACCTTAAAATGAAGTCCAGGTCTTCAGAAAGAATATTCATAAATGCACATGTTGGATATCTGACATATAAAAGCAAAACAAAAGAGCCAGCATTTTTCACTCTTGGAGAGGTTTGCAATTTGCTTCCAAATTTCCTTCGGTTCGAGTAGATACAGGTTGATTCAAAAACCTCACCACAAACAAGCTGTTTTCAAGGGTCCTGTTTTGGTTCAGATTGTCACTAAAATAGATAATCCTAAGGGAATGAAAGAAGAAAAATATCTCAATTTAGGCTTTGGGGGCACAGATAAAGAGCAGCAGGTTTGTTGAAAACTCACTACCGTTACTACAGCCTACTTTCAGTTTCCTGTTTAATATTAAATAAGGAATTTTAGCTCTTCTGTTTTTATAAACTGTGCTATTTGCTGCTACTGTTGCTACTAAAAGCTCTCTCTTGACTGTAGCTGAGTAGGCCCACGTATTTCAAACCAGTTTCTTTTTTTAATCCTACCACCTATTTTCAAGACATCATAGTTAACAGTTTCAAATCTGTTTAATAGATGTTTTGTTATTGCTGTTAAAAAAAAAAAAAGTCCCCAAATAAGTACTTACATTAGCTCTTGGTCAGATTGCTGAACATTTTGTATTTTTAAGCTGCCTGGAATACTTTGAAAAGGAGTCACAGAAAAGCCACAAAAAGAAGGGGGACAAAAAGCACTCATGCTCAAAGGCCGCCAGATGGAGGTTATAACTAATCAAAAGTGAAAGCAGAAAAGTTTGAATTGTGTCCTGAGATGTAGAGGAGGAAACCAACCATCTTGCTAAAGGTATGAAAAAGAAATACCTTTAGCAAGAAGAGGCAGATTAAGACCCAAACATTGACTTCAACCTGAGTCAGAGCCAAGTTCTCCATCTCATTGTTTTCATAAGAATTAAAGGCTTGTCCAGCCCCTTTTCTTGTCAGATACAAGGCAGTTGTTTTTTTGTTTGTTTGTTTTGGTTGTTGGGCCTGAACTCTGGGCCTGGGCATTGTCCCTCAGCTCTTCAGCTCAAGGCTAGCACTCTACCACTTGAGCCACAGCACCACTTCCGGCTTTTTCTGCTTATGTGGTGCTGAGGAATCGAACCCAGGGCCTCATGCATTCAAGGCAAGCACTCTACCACTGATCCACCTTCCCAGCACCCTCAAGGCAGATTTTTTTTATAAGAGCATTAGAGGAGTCATTCAGGATTTATATCAAAGTTCTTTGCCACCTACTAACAGCAATCAGTTAGTTTTTACACATGTTAAGTATTGTAGGAAAGTTTGTTTTTGTGCCAAGTACTAGGACTTGAACTCAGGGTCTGAGGGCTGTCCCTTGGCTTTTTTTTTTTCTCAAGACTGGTCTTCTGCCACTTGAACCACAGCTCTACTTCCAACTGTTTGATGGTTAATTGGAGATAAGTCTCAAGGACTTTTCTACCCAAACTAGCTTCTAACTTTGATCCTCAGATGCCAACCTCCTGAGTAGCTCAGATTATAGGCGTGAGCCACAGGAGCCTGGCTTTGGTTCTCTGGTTTGGGTAAATTTTACTTTTTCTTTCTTTTTTTGCCAGTCCTGGGGCTTGAACTCAGGGCTTAGGCACTGTCCCTGAGCTTCTTTTTGCTCAAGGCTAGCGCTCTACCTACCACTTTGAGCCACAGCGCCACTTTCCAGCTTTTTCTATTTATGTGGGACTGAGGAACGGAACGCCAGGCTTCATGCATTCTAAGCAAGCACTCTATCTCTAAGCCACATTCCCAGCCCTAAATTTTACTTTTTTAAGAGTAATTTTAAGTTCCCAACGAAATGGACGGCAGCCTCTGCCCACCATGTGTATTGGGTATTAAATTTGGGGGGGAGGGGGGAGAAGAGGAGGTGTCAGTGGTAGGGCTTGAACGAAGGGCCTAGGAGCTGTCCCTGAGCTCTTCAGCTCAAGGGGAGCACTCTACAACTCGAGCCACAGCACCGCTTCCAGTTTTCTGGTGGTTTATTAGAAAAAAAGTATCACGTACTTTCCTGCCTGGGCTGGCTTTGAACCTCGATCCTCATATCTCAGCCTCCTGAGTAGCTAAGATTACAAGCTTGAGCCAATGACACATAACTGAATTTTTGTTGCTGTTGTTGCTGCTGTTGGTCATGGGGCTTGAACTCTGGGCCTGGGCGCTGTCTCTCAGCTCTTCAGCTCAAGGCTAGCGCTCTATCACTTGAGCCACAGCTTTTTCTGCTTATGTAGTGTTGAGGAATGGAACCCAGGGCCTCATGCATGCAAGGCAAGCGCTGAGCCACCTTCCCAATCAAGCAACATGTAATGTAAAAAAAAAAGTTCCAAGCAATGAAATGGAAAGCATCCAAAACATCATTGTGTTGAAGTGTCAGCGGCTCTGCCACTCACCTCCCACTGGAGTCCTGTCTCCCCTCTGCAGAGGGTATGGACAAAGCGCTGCTTTGAAGCTGAGCCACGTGCTCCATCTTTCCCAGCCAGGTGTCTGGCAGGCACTGTTCACTTCCCCCTTTCTTACAAAGAAACCTGGCATTCCCAGAGTTCTTCTGGACCCCATCCTGCCCCAGCCATCCCTGAGGAGTTCCCCAGATGATGTCCCTTTTGCCTGGGCACATTAAAGACCACAGTCAAAACAATGAAGCACAAGTCCCCAGGTATGCAATCCAAGGAATCTGCAAACACGCACAACAAAAATTCTCCAAGGCTTCCTCTGTGCCTAGCCCCTCGCCCTCGCCAAGAGCTTCACCTGCACTATTTATTAGGACCTTCCACTCCCTGGAAGAGGATGACTGTGTCCTCGTGCACCGAAAAGGGCCCTGGAGTTCTTAGAAGTGGTCAATTGCAATCCATCAGCAACTGGTGCTTAGAGGAAGGAGATGAAAATTGAAGACAACCCCCACACACAACAAGATTTCTCACTTAACAGTCCATAGAGTGCCAGCCTGGCATCCAGCATGGTGAGGTAGGCATTGAAGAGGCGGGTCCAGAGGCCATAGAACTTTCTTTGATTCTCATGCTCAAAGTTATGTGGTTAACATCTGCCAGTTGAGAAATACCCTTGACCACCAGTCTAGCACTATTTACCAAAAGGTAACTCACAGAGAACTGGATCAAGATACCTCCACACAGACCTTTGCTTCAGTAAATGCACTTGCACATGCAGCAGCCATGATGCAACCTCAGGAGGCTGAGATCTGAGGATCGCCGTTCACAGCCAGTCTAGGCCAGAAGTGGAGCTGTGGCTCAAAGAGGTAGAGTGCCAGAATCGAGCTAAAAAGCTAAGGGAGAACGTGAGGGAGGCCCTGAGTTCACACCCCAGTACTGGCAGGTGTACACACACACACACACACTTACACTTACATGTATTTCAAGTGGGAAGTAAACTCTTACTGGGGAGCCCAATGTCACTGGGGCACTGCAGAGCCTTCATAAATTGCCCCTCCCTTCACTGGAGACTGAGAGGAAATACCCTCCCTAACTAAAGCCTACCCCTGCACCTTGATGACATAGCCAGAGTTCATTCCTTCAGGAAACAAAGCCAAGAGCTGGGCACCTTGTGGCTCAGGCCTGTCAGGCTAGGTGCTCAGGAGGCTGATATCTGAGGATCATAGTTCAGAGCCAGCTGGGACAGGAAAATCCATGAGACTCTATCTCCAATAAACTACTCAGAGAAAGCTAACAGTGGTATTGTGGCTCAAGAGGTAGAGCCCCGGCTATGGGCAAAAGAGCTCAGGGACACTACCCAAGCTCCAAGTTCAGGCCCCATGACTGACCAAAAAAAAAAAAGAAAGCAAGAAGGAATGTTATCTTGGTGCCATAACTTAAAATCTCATGATTGACCAAAAGCTCCATAGAAAGTGGATGCAGTGGAGAGTTGAAGTCTGTGGTTTCGTTCTTGAGAAATGCTCAGTCATCCCTAGAGGTCTGATCCCACTGCTATTTAGAGTAACTGGCTCCTGCCAGTACCACGCCAGACCAAACCTCTTACACCATCCCTGTAACAGCAACCTCCCGGCAGAGCAACCAATGTCGATAGGCATGAAAGTCAACCTGGCCCAGCATTGCTGGGATCACCACTGAATGGACAACTAAGCTGTGTTGGCCATGCTACCACCTCCTTGCTCACTGAGCAGACCACGATTTTCCTGCCATTGTCCAGGGCTCCTCCCTCCCATTTTCTTTCTTTTTTTTTTTTGTCGATCGTAGGGCTTGAACTCTGGGCTTGGGCGCTGTCCCTCAGCTCTTCAGCTCAAAGTTAGCACTCTACTACTTGAGCCACAGCGCCACTTCCGATTTTCTAGTGGTTTATTGGAAATAAGAGTCTCATGGTCTTTCCTGCCCGGGGCTGGCTTTGAACCTCGACCCTCAGATCTCAGCCTCCTGAGTAGCTAGGATTACAGGCATGAGCCACAGCCCGGCTTTGTTTATTTTTCTTGATCAAAATCTACCACTCCTGCCTAGGAAGAAAGTTACTGAAGCTGGTTGCTCGATTTATCATTTAATCTAAACAGAGCTATTTACTCACTTACTAATTACATTCTTAGCTTTATAGTTCTAGCCAGGAAAGGTTTATTCATTACCAAAAACCAATTAATGTAAGAAGAAAATGAAATCTACAAGGTTAGCCTTAGGAGAAACTTCACTCTTGGTAGCATACAATCCTAATTTAATGACAGAACCAAATGAAGGGGCTCAGGGCCAGAGGTCAGAATGAACGAGTCTGCTTTCCTCTCCCTCACCTGCACCCTCAGCCTGGGGTTTGGGTAAAGATGGTTTTATTGCCCACCCCAAGAGGTTGGATGGATGAAGAATGATCTGGCCAGACACACAGGAAGAGTTAGGGGTAGGTCCAATTTCTTGTCACTATTTCTACTTGGAAGTTTCTGCCATAGTCAAACCTTAATATTTGAAAATGGAAGATACACCTGATGCTGGTAGCTCATACCTACAATCTTAGCTACTTAGGAGCTGAGATCTGAGGATCGTGGCTCAAAGCCAGCCCCTGCAGGAAAATCCATGAAAAAACTCCAATCAACCACCACAAAACAGGAAGTAGGGGCTGGGAAGGGGCTCAGTGGTAGAGTGCTTGCCTTGCATGCATGAGGCCCTGGGTTCAATTCCTCAGCATCATATAAGCAGAAAAAGCCAGAAGTGGTGCTCTGTGGCTCAAGTGGTAGAGCCCTAGCCTTGGGCTGAAAGCTGAGAGATAATACCTAGACCCAGAGTTTAGGC